GATTCCTGTACCATCTTTTCTATCTTGCTATCAACTTGCTCCATTTTTGTTTCAACTTTTTGAATTCTTTGTTCATTTTCCATCATTGTTTGTTGTATATTGCCTATCTTATCATTCATGTTTTTAATTTCATCTCTCATTTCTCCAATATCATTCTTGATTTCTTTGTGATGTACTTTCGTTTCTTCATGATTATTTGGTATTGCCTCTTGGGTCATCATCATTGTTTCTTGAATCATTTGTAGTGTTATCTGTATGCTCTGTGGGGTCATTGCCAATTCTGCCTTTTCTTTTTCTTTCCCCAACATGGTCCCTATCATTCTTTGACCTGTAGGAGAGGCCATTATAGGTGTGGGATTTGTAACTATTTTTTTACCTACTTTAGTTGTTGTTGCTGTACTTGTCATTTTTATTACTTGAATAATATTTCTCCACTTTTGCATATATCAATTTATGGCAAGTTGTTTTTGTTGATCAAATTGGTTTTCAATCTATATAGTCTAAGCTTAAATATATAAATATCTATATAATATAAATAGCAAAGAATATATATATATGTAATATTTCTAATTATATATCACTATATATGACTATAATACCTTTATAGAACGTTATTCTTAGGTTTGACGTTAAACAATAAAATTACAAATAGAGTTATACCTTTCCTTGTCCCACTATTATCTGGTATAGTTTATAATGCTCTTATAACACTCTTAACACCGCTTATATATATTTCTATAACACTACACACAATACATATACATATACTATTTTCTAAGTATTATCCCCACTCTTATTTTCATTCACTATCACCCTTATTTGAGTGATCACCAGTCTCTATATTTCTTTACTATACTATAATTACTTTCTCACTTCTATTTAATTCAATTACTCAATTATACTTATTTCTATTCACTAATACAATTCATTTACTTCATTCCTTTTAATACATTGCCTGCTGCCCCCTTTTCTACTTGTAGCTTAATCACTGCTTGTGTATGAGTGCTACAATATTGCATCAGCCTTTTTTCTCTCTGTCTCAATTTAATGTATCCACCAATTGTATCACTTCTTCTTCTTCTTCTTCTTCTTCTTCTTCTTCTTCTTCTTCTTCTTCTTCTTCTTCTTCTTCTTCTTCTTCTTCTTCTTCTTCTTCTTCTTCTTCTTCTTCTTCTTCTTCTTCTTCTTCTTCTTCTTCTTCTTCTTCTTCTTCTTCTTCTTCTTCTTCTTCTTCTTCTTCTTCTTCTTTTTCTTCTTCTTCTTC